CCTTTTGCGTCCAAGTCTCTCCTTGTCCTCGACTCGCTGGGCTTTTTAAGCTTGGGAGTGGCTGGCGGCTAGAAGAGTCTGTTCGGACGAAGGCCATGCGCCGGCGCGGAGCCATCGACGATCGCTCAGGGTCCCAAGCTTCCCCCAAGCTAAGCTGCATGGCTGTGAATGGGCATCGTCGACAAATGTCATGATGAGCTCTCCGTTCAGAGTTGAATGTCGACCGAGACCGAAGCCGTGTGAGGACTGATGACTGATGACTGAGAAGTGGGATCAGCGAGACGGACAGGGGCCCGGCCGGGAGTCGAACGGGTAAATTGAAACCAAATGGGACAGGGCAGACAAAAGCGGTGGTCGCCGTTAAGGACCCTACGCAGTAAGGACTGTGACGAGAGGTAAGGTGAGGTAGTTTGACCGGTGGCAGCGTCGTATCAATTCGTTGACGAATCCCGCCCGCCGTTGAACGGGGAATTCTGCAGTGCCGTTGATTTGGGAACCTGTTCGTCAATTGACCGGCGCGGGTTCGGAACAGACGTGAGAGGAAGGAACGGGAAAGAGACTGGTCACATTTTCTCGCATAGTTGCCGTGGTCAGATGTCAAGTTTCCGGTTGATCGATGGCAGGCGGCGGCCGGCCTGGGATGTGTGGGATGTTTCCTGGTTAGGAAAGGGAGGAAAGGCAATCCTCCCGGGTCCCGTCTGGCGTCTCGTCTCGTGGCAGGTGGCAGTATGGCAGACTGACTAGTGACACCTGAGCTTTGTCGAGTCGGGGAGGAAGGCAAGGAGGGGAAAGCATGGAAGGTGCAGACGAGTGCAGTTGCCAGTCACTCACTTCCTGCAGTGTGGGTGCACCACAACGGGCTGTCCCTTCCCTTCCATCTACCTTACCGAAGTACCATAGTTAGGTATCCCCCGCCTCGTTACCACACAGGCGGTGGGCACCTTCCCACGGGCGGCTTCCACGACACCGGTGACGGGGCAAGCGTGGCTGTCCTGCGCACTTTCCAATTGGGCTTGACAAGTTGACAGTGTTGGGGAGGTGCGGCACAGCACCATTACAACCCGGTCTTTCCATCCCGTCAACAACGTGGAAAGACCTGACCAACCATTGACCAATGGACTTGTTCAATACCTTGAGGCTTACCGTCAGGTGGAGTCTCAACCAGCAACTGCAGCGGGAATTAAGTGGTTCTGGCCCTCGCTACGGACATGTCTCTCTGTTTTTTCTTTCGGAAGGAACCTAACAACTGAACCATTGACGGCTTCCATGCAAGTTCCATCCCTTTCCCCCCTGCTGAAAAGCACGAGAGAGGGTACCCGAGGTTCCGAACCTGGGAAATGGCGTCCTGAAATCCCTGGTCGTCTTCTTGCAATGCAACGGCAACGTGCTCCATCAGCCAATGCCGCCCGTCTTCCGCCCTCCTTTCTCCTCCTCCTAAGCCACGGCTTGCACCACATTACTTGATCCTATTCCCCTTCCATCAGACACCGCAGAAGCTCGTTGTCTAGCGCTCGCCCATGTCACCTCATCACGAAAACTATGCTCCTCTTGCAATCTCGCCTCTTGTCGCCAAGACCCGACCACGATGCGGCTACCCATGTGCACCTTCTAGCCGACCGTCTCGTCACTCTTCACATCCTCTCGCCAAGCAGAAACCCATACATGATACGTCCGTAATGACGACCATACCGAACCTACACACCACCAAGCTCGTCAAAGTCGCACAAACCCACTCCGCTTGCAGAATTCCAGAACAGACACTCGCTCAATACTGAACGCTAATGGCCCTCCACGAAGCCACAGACCCTATCTCGAAGCAAAACCCGCCTTAGGACTAATACCTAGGAGCTCTTCCTCAGTGCACTACGAATACCTAGGGAAATCCCCATACGCCGGCTTTTGCGCATACATGATCCGCAATGGCATGTACATCAAAGCCGCATTATCGTGATACGCTCGCCGCACGCTGACGAGGAACATTTCAATCTGCTCTGGTGTCCATAGCAACCCTCTGGTCAGTGGGCCGAGGGCAATCGCCTGCAGTCCGTCGAGAAGAATCGTCCTCCAGTACATGCCTACTGTCTTGAGCACCCGGTTTCGCGGCCACGTACCAAGCGGTACGTGGAAAATCTTCTCCGTCACGTTGACGAACCCGGCCTCGCGCATCATATTAGGCAGCCGGTCACCTGCGGCAGCATTAAAGTCGATGCCGAGGCTCGTGAGTCCCTGGGTTACGAAACTCCAATACTGAGCCACCGGGTGTGAGGGCGGCATGGCGTTGTATGCCGATGACGGGAAGTGATGGATCTCTTGCAATTCGATCCAGCCGCCGGGTTTCAGGTGCCTATCAACGTATTAGGCCTGCCATTGACAAGTCGTAGACATGAGACTTACTCGTATGCTCTATGGAACAGGTTTCTCCAGTTCTTGATGGCCATAACCGTGTGTCGAGAATGGATATAATCGAAATGATTCCTTGGATACAACCACGAACTTTCCACATCGTCGACCTCAAATTTGACATTTGGCGGTACCCAGTCCGGTTGAATGGGGCTGAGATCGACTCCCAGCACTGTTGCACTCTCAAACTGGTCGCCCACTACATCGTCGTTAGCATCACGAACTCTTCACCAACTCTGCAAAAAAAAAAAAAAAAAAAAAAAAAAAAAAAAAGAGTCTCTGAACTTACTCTCAATAGCCCATGCGCCTGTCCCCGTCCCGATGTCCAGAATTTGCTGCGGCCACTCGCCAATGGGTGCAAAGTGCAGCTTCTGATTGCACAGGAGCTTCACCATGGCATGCTTCATGTCTTCACGCTCCTGCTCCACCTCGTCGTTGGGAAAGTTGTACAGCCCTTCTCGGAAGCGGTGATAGCGTCGCCCATTCTCGTACATATAATCTCGGACTGATGACGTGACGGACGTACTGGCATTTGTCGCACTGTCGCTTCCGTATCCGCCATCCGACTCTGTGCCGTCGAAAATCGAGGCCATGTCGTCACTGTCTGCCACGATGGAACTTTCGGCTTGCGTTGCAGCTTCCGACGATTCTGTGACCTCTTGCTCGACCGACAGATCTGGGAAAATCGGGACGCCATTGGGATGCGTCAAAGGCGACCGCAGCGCAGGAAATACATCGCGAGGCAGGTGTTGGTTCGCCTCATATGCGTTACGGTTGGCAGATACCACATCGGGTGCTGCTTGAGTCCTTCCCACGGGTTCGCTAGTGTCTGTCTTGGCCGCCGCGGGGTCATCGGATAGCCGATCGAGCCTGGGCGGCTTCTCCTTCTTAGCTGGCGCCGATGCTGTCGCGTCCGTCATTGAGTCGATCATTCGTTGCTGGTTTGAATGCGCAATGGCGGGTTCTGTTGTGTTTTCTGCAAGTTGAGAAGAGAGCCCGAGGTTTCGCTCCTCGTGTTGCGGGAGCACGAGTTGACCGTCGGGCGCCACATATTGCTTTTTTGAGGTCCATGCCTGACCAGGGATGCCATCATCCTCTCGCGTCGCAAAAGCGGCTGGCAGCTCGTGTCTGCTCGCAGAAAGTGTCTCAGATCCGATGCCCATAGAGATATGAGCCTTGTGTTCTTTGTCTCGGAGCTCTTCTAGAGACGGTGTTCTAGCGGTTCCACCAGATGCCAACAGCGTCTCGCTTGTCTGCTCATCTGCTGTCGAAAGCCCCGTCATTGCGGTCATTGGACGATGTGCGCAGTAAAAAACGGCCGCCGCCTTGCGCTTCGATGCTTCAGTCTCGGTCGGTTCCGATCAGAGCTTGCTCTGATGCTGTCAGACTCTTTTGTTGTCGCCTCTGCGCCACTCGAGCATCAAGAAGTTGACGAGTATTCTGGGAGATGGCCCGATCTTTAAAAGCGCAGATTCAGCCTGAACTTGTATCATGCGACGAATAAGGAGGCAACTTGCAGCTACAGTTGTACGAGGCACTGGTCATTCACCATCAGCCAACGCTCGGCCGTGGCGCACAAACAGGAGCTTGGCGAAACTCCAAAGTACAGCACGTTGGAGCTTTATTTGAGGGCATGACGGAGGGAATGACAGCTCAGGCCACCCATGCGTCAATTACTTGACTTCGCCAATACATGCAAGTTGGGTGGACAGGTCTGAATGTGATCCGTCATGGGCCCGTTGGTCTGGCCTGCTCTTTGTGGCTTGCCCTCAATATCGTTTCCAAACCAGGCCTCTTCCCTTCTTCTTTCCTTTCCCCCACAGTGGGTACGGAAAGGCTCGACCCCTCGCCAAGACGGCAAGCAATCTATGGCCTTCCCTGGAGCTGCAACTTGACAGTACGGATAGATCGTTCAGCTCCAATTACCTGGTCGGTGCGAAATCTCTGCGCCGCAACAACCAACAATGTGACAAGGTTGCCTGTCCCGCCCGCGGCCCATCCCAGATCGAACACGCTGCTGCAGGGGCCTAGACTGGCTCTCGAGCCGCCGTCCTGGTTGACTTGCGGACGGACTTGACGGAGGATGGGCGGGGTGGGGAAGGTTGCATCGATGTAGGTTTGCGAAGCGACAATGGCCATTCTTCTCTAGTCCCTCGATTCGTTGGTTGGATCTTGAGCAACCAAGTTCTCGCTCGCATTTGGATCTGCATCCTTTCCTTCGAGGCTTCAGCTATGCCCATCGACCTCTTGTCCAAAGATGGGCCGTCGGACAGCTGATGGTTGCCTCCATTGTCTTCGGATGAACACCGTTCGCGCATCAATTGACGCAAGACGAATCCCGTCCTTCGAAATCAAGATCAAAACATTCCTTTCCACGAATCACCATTTCGACACGATGGGACGGACCACTCAAAGCTCTCAAGGGCTAGGTCAGGCTTCGCGTGAAGTCATCTGCGACATGATTGGTGCTTGGCCAAGGCAGCAATCCAACAGCCTCACTGTTGGTCGTCGTTTCGAGCTCAGTTCCAGGTTTCAATTGTTCGCCATCAACCCACCGCTATCACCAAATTCACCAAATTCGAATGTTTCCAGTGGCAGCAATGTCGGAAAGCGCCATCTCCATCTTACGGAGTGAAAACAACGTCTGCTCAGCCTGTGCATTCATCAACTTTGATTCCTTCATTCATCATGCCAAAGATGTGGTGGGCAAATCGTTACACGACATCGACAAGCGCTATCTCGGACTAGATTCTCCAGACTCCCCATTTGCGCTGCTAGTATGTGATGACAACGGCGCGGTAGAGATGGTAGGCATTGAAGTCGATCACGTCGAGAAAACCTCTGCTTGTCCCTGTTACGAGATATTCAAGATACTCAAATTTGAAGGGTCGCATACTTACCTTGTTTACTTGCACCCTTCGCGAAAACAGTATGATCTACGAATGAAGGACAAGAAAGTTACACGTCCACAGCTCAAAGTGTGTCAATTGTATGATTTCAACCGTACGTCAAGGCTGAGTGACGGTTTAACGGCGAGAAACATCAGAACCTTCCGCTGGGATCGCACTTTCAAGTTGGTCCAACCCGGCCAGCCCGATCCCAAACTGTCAGCAGACTTGTTATCCATCAAGTCTGCCTTGGCGCGCGAGGCTTGCCGGCATCATCTCAAATCAGAGGGAGGTCAGAATTGGGAAGCATTGTTTCGACGGGGACTACCTGGGTGGAGTGTCATAGACTGCTTCACGGACGAAATTGTCAACCTCGAGGATTGCGTTGCGTCGGCGGGGTCTTTCGATGCAGTCGAGTACGCTACCCTGAGTTATGTCTGGGGGTCCGCACAGAGCGATTGTCCGAGGCTTGGTCGCAAACTGCCCGCATCCGTGCCTCGAGTCATCGAAGATGCAAAGACTGTAACGGCTTCGCTAGGATTCCGGTATCTTTGGGTCGATCGCTATTGTATCCCTCAACATTGTGCCAAAGAGGCCCACGACCAGATCTGCAACATGAACCTCATCTATGCCCGGTCCTGCATCACCATCGTTGCTGCAGCAGGCCAATGTCCGGACTACGGTCTTCCTGGGGTTGGGAAGACACTGCGAAAAGTACTTGACACTTTCCAAATCGGATCTCATACCATCAGACGAATGCCCACCGATGCAAAATGGGTTGAGCAGCAGATCCAGCACTCCAAGTGGAATACGAGAGCTTGGACTTGTCAGGAGGCAGCTTTATCAACGAGGCGACTGTACTTCACCGACCACTTTGCCCTTTTGGAGAATGGAAATGAGGGAGAAAGCTACATCGAAGGCTTGCCGAATCAACTTTGCCCAAAGAACGGGACCGCATGGGATGGTATAAATACGTTAGGTTCTATTCCCCACGCGGGAAGCTATGCAACCCGGGAGCTTTCTTTCGAGGCAGACGTCTTTCGCGCATTTCAAGGATGTCAGTCTCATTACAACCATGTCCACATGGGGACATCTGTCTTGTTTTGTGGAATAAGGATAGGAAATGATTGCGAATTTTCGTCGGCTTTGATTTGGGAAATGCCAGCATCTTCGTCTCGGCCGCAAAGACGCGCTGGGGGGCAGAGTTGGACGTGGCTGGGATGGCATGTCTCACGGGACTCCGAGTTATCGCTAAATCCCTCATGGGCTCCATGCTACGAATCGCATGGGAGCAAGTATGCGAGTTTTGTGCCTACTGTACAAGTTTCACTTCGGTATGCGGATGGGTTCACCTTCAAGTGGGCTTCCATGACGAAGGAGCGGATCTACAAGTTGATGGACGACCGAGATGAGGGCACCATAGAGTTCATCCTTGTGACGGGACTGACTTTCGGATTCAAAGCGTTGTGGTCCATGTCTAGTCGAGAGAAAGATGTTGCCAGGGCTAGGTCATGGGCGAACACCAGCCCAGGCCTTAAGAGTGCCATCGTTCGTGGGTCACGTTTGAATGACTTGGACGAAATTGCACGGAAATCCTACGGCATTTCGCAAGATGAATTGTTAGATGAGTCTCGAGCTCTTTGCCTTTGCATTGGGTCGTGTATCAATTGGGGAAAAGGTCAACTCCATTGTCTGGGATTGGTGTCGTCCGATGGCGGGACGACTTGGCAGAGATTGAGCATGTTCAGGATCCATTTCGGAGAATGTAGGACACACGTATGTCCGGACGCTTTCGGGTGGGAACGGAGGGAGCTCAAAATACGCTGAGCCATGATGATCTGCTGCTTTTAAGCACCTGTGTAAACATGATATCGTTAATAAGTCAATGGCTCTATAGAATCATCGACGGCAGCCTGCTCTCTATCGGTCTCCGGTAGAGGTTATCCGGTAACATGAAGTTGGAGGGCTTGAGATTCTGGTGCACCTTTCTCTTATTCTCTCTGCTTGTCGTTGGATTTCCATTTCTTATCTTTGCGCGCGGTCACGATCCTAATTTCTAGATATTTCCTAACATAATATGTGAATCCATGGTACAAGAAATCGTGCAGGCACCTTGACCTTGGAGTTCTGTCGTTGGTGGCGCCCCAGGTTGCGCATGTGCCTTTATAGACGTCCTCCCTCGTCCCATCACGAAATTTTGGGACCAAGATCGTCCGTACGTGAGCTTGACGGCATGACGGCTGTCTCCCTCAGATATACTCATAACTGCTACAGTTCCGGAGAAGCATGGGAGCCAGTTAAGAAACAAAATTCATTGCTTGGTTTGGATGATATTGCCTGAGAAGAACGCGGTTGCCGCTGTTCTTCCTCCTCCAGTGTACGGCAATGCTTATGATAGGCCATATTGCACGCGATCTCCGGGCGCAAGTGGAAAGTCCCTAGCAAGAATGGCCTTCGAACCGTAAAATGCTTGAGGTATCTCCGTTGACGTGTTGGTCATTCCGATGACTCTACTCCGACACCGTGCCTCGCGACTATCATCTTCGTTTCGGAGATGGAAAGTGCCAACGCCATAAGTCAAATCAGGTTTCCCGTAGGTCTTTTTCCCAGCTGTGACTTATGAACCATCGAATACACTAGAGCTAACGACAAAAACTCAGCGGCAGTGTCATCTAATTGTACTTCACCATCAATCTGCAAGAGTATACTAGAAACAGCTCCATCTAACCGTAAGTCAACCTCAACCCCCTTACAAATATCAATCAGACACTAACCAGAAATCAACGACAAAGACCATCGACGATGGACGAATCCAAAAACGAGACCGGCAAACTGGGAGGTGTATACACCTACTTCCAATCCCTCCCCAATCTCATCCCCCGACGCGCGAAAAACTTCATCTGCGGCTGCTTAGACGACATTGTTCTCCACAGCATCACCTCCATCTTCATCAAACCCTTTATAAGCTACGTCTTCTTCACCACGGTAGTCTTGGTCTTGATTGCGGAGATCGCGCCCCACCCCTTGATCTTTGCCCTCTTCTCAATCTCCGCATACGCGAAGCAACATATCGTGGATATGGTGATCACCGGGTTGGTAAAGTCGGTGACTGCGATTTGGGTTGATGCCGTGGTGCTGTGGTTTATCGTGTCGGTACACTTCTTTCGCGAGAGGAGACGACGGATTCCGAGGAGGGAGTGGATTGCTGCGTGGGAGGTCATCTCTTTGGGGATTAATGCGGTCGTATACCTTGCCCCGTGGGCGCCTAAACAGGACTTCTCTGCCGCGTATGACTCGGCCTCGGCAACCCCTTCCAACGAGGATGGGGAGTTTCAAATGACGTGGGGACACTACGCTTCCCTACTGCTCGTTCTCCGCGAAGTAAACGGCGCGTTTGTGGAGCACATTTGGCAAACGAAGCTCGATGCCCAGACGGCACCCAAGGACGGGAAGTACGAGTGCCTCAGGAGACTGTGGTATGGTTTCCGCTTCTGGGGTTGGAGTGTGTTGAGTCGGGCCATGATGTATCTGTGTGTTATGGCTGCTTGGGATGCGGTGGTGGAGTTGGTGGTTTGGGAGTATGTACCTGTGGCGTACGGAGGGTTGGCGTTCTTTGGGATGATCGTTGGGATGTTGACGGTTGCTGTGCTGTGGGTTTTGGAGCGGTGGAAGGCGATGCGGGGGATTAGGGTGGATTTGGAGGGGTATGGAAGCGATGAGAGCGATCATGAAGAGGGCGATGAGGATGAGGAAGAAGATTATGAGAGCGACGATGACGAGAGCGACGATGACGATGACGACAGCGACGATGACGATGACGACAGCGACGAGGACGATAGCGATGGGGACGATAGCGATGGGGACGAGCGCGAAGGGGACGTTGACGACGAGGATCATGAGGCGTATAAGGACAGTCGGGAAAATCATTCCCTAGGCTGTAAACATTCTCTAAGAATTCTAAGATGTTGAGGAATCCAAAAGTTGACACCACGAGGTCAACTGTACGCCGGGAATAGGCCAAGGACATGCTCAAGATCATACTCCAAGCACCTCACAACTAGAGACATCATTAGCTAGCATATGTTCATCAGTCACGTCGGTAGTCCCACAGGAAGTACACTCGTCTCATCGCCGCGTGGAGCATCACAAGAAACCCAAGGAGTGTGATTCAAACTCACAGTGTCTTGTAAGAAGTACTTGCCAAATCCGGCTAGTCACCTGACACCCGGCCGCCGGCGCCGAACCCGTGCCCCACATCGGCAAAGTGACTCGATCCCCCGCGCCACCGCCTCCGTCCTCGGAACGGGTCCCAACATCAGTGCACCTGCACCTCGCCTTCCGTCTGACATTCCAACCACCAGGCACCCGCACCACCACAACCAGGCACCTAAACTTAACGACGCCATCCAGGCACCCACGTTCTACAAAGTCGCCATCATCGAAGCATCAATCCCTCCTATCTCCTTGCTCCCTCAAATCAACCGAACTCCAAAAGCCGCAACAGAACTCATCCACCAAAATGCCTCCCGCAGCGCCAACACCACCTCTAAACTACACAACATCCCCCTCCCTCCTCCCCTACACCCTCCGCTTCCACCCCTACAACAAACCACCACCTCCCTCCTCATCATCGTCAACGTACCCCCAAGAGGTCTTTCACACCCACCGCCTCTGCGTAGGCGCCGCAGTCCTCTCCCCCTCCTCCCAGACCACCCCCAAAATCCTCCTCCTCCAACGCTCCGCAAGAGAATCCGCCCTCCCCCACAAATGGGAACTCCCCGGCGGGGCAGCGGAATCCCTCGACTCCAACTCCCTCGCCTCCGCCGCCCGCGAACTCTGGGAAGAAACCGCCCTCCGCGCCGTAAAATTCGCGGCGCTGGTGGGATGTTATCAATGGGAGGGTGCCAGGGCCGGTGAAGAAGCGCAGGCCGTGGCTGGGGACCAGGCGTGGGGGTTATCGAGGGGTGGGGTCGGGATTATCGAGGTTGGACGACGGTCTGATGATGCTGGGATTTCGGAGGGTGTGGGAGATGGGGTGATGAAGGATTCGCACAAGTTCTTCAAGGGACGAGATGCGTGGAGAAAGTATACTTACCTCGTGGAAGTTGAGACCACTGGGACAGGGGAGGTGAAGGTTGAGATCGATCCCGAGGAGCACGACGATTTCGTCTGGGCCACGGAGGAGGAGGTGCGTGCTGATCGGTGTGGGGAGAGGGTTTTTGAGTGGACTTCGGAGCATCAGAAGCTGGACATCTTAAGGGCTTTTGAGATTGCGAGGGGAAAGAAATAGGTTCATAACATGGGGGGTGGTGGATGGGCGAGGTTCATCGACAGACGGACATGACTAGAAGAAGCGCGTGGATGGATGCCATTGGTGTTCTCAAATTCTGCCTAGAGACCTGAGGACCCCTCTATAGATATAATTAATGAATACCTAGATCTACATCTTCGCAGCCGAACCTCGGAACTCATCAGTCTCTACTTCTTCTTCGATCCCCTCCCGCCTCGTCCCCCCTTGCCCTGCTGGCCCTTGGCCCCCGAACCACCACTCCCACCAGACATCATAACCCGTACCTTGCCAACTGGCACGACATTAATACTCTCCTCCGCCTTGAGCGCCTTCATAAGCTCCACCTCCCTAGGCCACATCTTCTCCTTATCCTGCGCCCGCTCGTCGAGCGCGCCCTTCTTGGACGAATCGCTCTTCCACCGCTCAAACACCTCCTTCACCGCCTTACCCTTCTTCACCGCCCCAGGCTGGAGCTTGGCTTTATACTTGAACTTGCCCATGGCGGTCCACGGCGCACAAACAGGTATCGCCTCGAGAATCTCGTCGCCGGGGAGGGGCCAACCCACCAGTGAATCGAGCAGCGTCATCTTGCTCAGCTCATCCGAGTCCAGGATCTCTACGCCCTCCTCGTTCATCAGCCTGCGAATCTCCTCGTGCTCGGCAGTCTCCTTTTGCTGCTTCTCATGCTGCGCGCGGCGACGTTCCTTTTGGTACGCCAGCTGGGCTTCGCGGTCGGCTTTACTCTGCGCCTCGGCTTCGGCTCGTTGCTTGCCGCGCGCGGAGCCGTAGAGGGCCTCGGCTGCTGCCCTGTCCTCTTCGTCTTGGTCCTTATATTTGGCTGCAATCTTCTTGGCTTTATTACGTCGGCCTCGTTTGGCTGGTTGTTGCTTCTCGGTCGCGGCGGTGCTTGGTGCACCGGACGGCTCTGCCGGGGTTGATGTTTGTCCTGTAGCTGCCTTGTCGCTCTCTTCTTCGTCGTCATCCCCGTCTTCTTCCTCGTTGTCCTCATCTTCCTTCTCTGCCGGCTCGGCTTCATCCTCCGCAGACTGTTCCGCAGGCTTGTCCTCTTCAATCTTGAGGTTTGACAACTCCTCGGCAGGGGACTCTTCAGATGGAAGCTGCTCCTCTGAATCATCCTGTCCACTCTGTCCAAGATTCTGCAGAGGGTTGTCGCGCGGCTTCTCGTCCTCCTGATCGTCCTCGGAGCCAATATCAGAAGCATCATCCGGGACGTCATCATCAGCTTGAGCGGCATCAGTCGCAGTCCCTGGTGCCGCGCTATCGGCCGCCGAAGCCGGAACATCAGCGGTCTCATACAGTCTGTGCTTCACATGCCTAGCCTTGCTCTCTTCGCTAATCTTGAACATGATGCCGAGACCGAGCAGAAGCTGTGCCGGAGGAAGGAAATTCTTCTGGCCCCGGACCATGAAGCTTCCCGTGGGGAGGTACTCTCCGGTAGGAGCAGACTTGGAAACCTGATCGGCGTTCACCCACCACGCGCCCATACCTGCCTTGGAGTCCCACGCACTCGAGCTGCACACGGCCATTGTGCCTGCCTGCGCCAGCGTTGAAGGAGGGATAGGCGCACCGGGATCGCTGGGGGTGTTCTTGATGATGACGGTCGCGGCGCCGTGCATGTCCGCGTGAACGTAGACGTCGCCCTTGCGGAGATAGCGCTTATACAGCATCTCGTTCTGCTGCGCATCCTTGCCTGCCAACACCAGGTATCCGTCAGACGAGACAAACCAGGTGAACTTTTCGAACCATATCTGCTTCCGGATTGGCGCAAGAACAGCCTTCTCCGTCTTGAGGCCCTTCTTCAGCTCAGCCTGGATCTTCTGCTCGGCGTTCTTCAACGCAATCTGAGACTGCAAAACCGTCTTCTCCTCCTTTTTGGCGGCACTTCTCTTCTGCTCGTGGTATCCTCTGGAGTTTGCCCATGGCGTAAGGGTGATATCAACATCAATCTCCAGATGCTTTGCGGTCTTTTGGTTGTTGCTGGTCTCCTCCTCGTCGCTGTCGGATGCATCAGAGTCGGTCTCGTAGTTGGACTCGTCGTCTTCAATTTCTTCCTCCTCTCCCAGCAGCAAGGTAATCGTGTTATCCGCAAGTTTCAGCGGCAGCTTAATGATCTCAGCCACTGGGTTGCGGCGCTTCTGTTCGCGCTCAATGAGCTTGCTGATGTCGACCCAATCCATGCCTTGCTGTAGAAGCCCATTGACCGCGTCCATCGCCTCCTGCACACGCTCGACGTTGGCCTCTATCGCGGTAGCCTTCTGGACGTTGAGTGACTTCGCCTCCCGGAGGCCCTCGATTCGCTTCTCCTGGTCGTTTCGCGCTGCATCAAGCTTCCTCCTTGCCGCGGCCTCTCGTTCAGTCAGTCTTGACTCCAGCTTCTGGCCCTCCAAAGACGAGAAGAACTCGTCGACAGTCTTGTTGTAGCCATCAAACTCGATGACCTTGACGGTAGGGTCGTTTGCAAACTTGTTTGGCAAGAAAGGGTGGAAGTCGTCGTAGAGAAGATCCGATCTCTTCGCCTCCTCTCCCTCTGCTGCTGGCGCGCCGTCCGGCTTCGATCGGTACTTTGCAAAAATGTAGCCCTTGGCCGTGGCAGAGCTAGTGGCAACTTCCACAATACTGCGGGCTTCGGTCAACGCCTTCAGAAGCGCATCCAGAAGCGATTCATCCTCGAGAATCTCGGCGGGTTTCTTGGTGCCGTCAAACTTGGTAATCTGGAATGCGTGGTCGACGAGAATAGGCGGTAATTCGGTGATCGTCGTCGCCAAACTCCTCCTCAACTCGTCACCAGGCTTCGTCTTGATCTTCTTCCCCGCAGAGACAGCTGTCGCGCTCTTCTTGACTGACGACTCCAGTGCCGCTCGTACTCTCTCCTTTGTGAGATCGGGAACGCCGTTGAAGTTCTGCCGGTTGTCTAACGAGTAGTTCAACCCGATTCGTTGAGGTTCCTGGCCCTCTCCTTCGGGGACGTTGCGCAGGAGTGTGAGGATCTTGAGGTCGGCATCGGTCAGGATGACGTTTCCGCTCTGCGTAAAGACAAAGTCAGTGGTTGATTCTTGTCGCAGGTAGATAAATCAAGCCACTTACAGCAAAGAACTCGAGGAAAAGACGATACTGGCCATCACTAAACTGAAACTCCAAGATTCTGTCCGTTCCAACCTGCTTAACAGACGTCAACCGCCTCGTCTTCAGAAACTTGCGCAACCGCGCCACAAAAGCCGAGGGCGCCGCGGCGGTCGTGCGTGTAAAGTCTGTAAGATGACATCGGAAACCAGAGTCGATAATAAGCTGCTTCTTATTATCGGGCTTGGCGAACTTGAGGAGTAGAATCTTGGAGGAGAGGTCGTAGACGTTGGCGAGTCGCAGGGTCGTCAGGCTCTCTTGGAGCTCGTGGGCGATGACTTTGACGTCGATGGACGAGAAACGCTGCTTCATGACTGCGGCAGTCGAGTCGTAGAGGTTTCGTATAGGGTCGGTTTAACAAAGCGAGCGCGCCAGTCTTTTTGTGGCGGCTTTGGTGTTGCAAAGAGTTGAATACGTTGCCAGTGAGGGGCAGGAATATGTGATGCAAATGAATAATCGCGGGGCATTCGTGGCTGAAGAGCTTTGAAAATGTGGAATGCGCCACGATGACGTCACGTGCTTGGTTTGTCACCGGGGACTTCACTCCATGTTCGTCGGGTCTTTTTGCCAATTGTCAGGAAATTCAAATAGTATTCAGTCTTGTGTAACTATTATTAAAATGATAAGAGACCCAGGCGCTTTCAATCAGGATTATAGGCTTCATTGATGGGAATTAGCCCCGTTGTGATTTCTCATCTCTCATCCCGAGCTGGCCGTGATGACGCACACCGAGCTTCTAGCGCCACATTTCGAGCTTCAAGCAAAGACGAAGAGCTGTCATACTAAATTAGAGCTCCGTGCCACCGGTTCGTGGTGACATATGCCAACTCAAATAAGATGCAACAAGGTCTTTGTCTCTGAAGTTTCGTTGTAAGTGAATTAATCATACAATCAGTCCAAGGCTTGCCAATCTTCGATGGATCCTTCAGAACCTCATGGGTCCATATGCTTGAACCAACAAAGCCTTGAATCAAGGAATAGGCTATACGCCCTCCATCAAAGGACGGCTATCATTCAAGACAATACACTTGATGATGGTTTTGGCAGCATGCCACTACGACATGTCACTCTATAGGTGGTGCGGCTCAGCAGCTTAAAAGGTCTGCAAAGTAGTATCAAGAACTTGACAGATATAATGCCCATGCCTAACCGCTCAAGCGCGTACTTGCTAATGGCAGTTTCCAGTGCGGTCTTCAAATCCATAGGTCGACGATCACTTTCTGAAGCAACTCGAAATCACAATTGAACACAGGCAGTGCATGGACTCTACTAGATGCTTCAACCCGCGCAGCGAAGCCATTGTTCACCAGTCTTGGCCTTCAACGAGGAAGAATGTTTGCCATGGACATTCAGCCGGCATAGACTATATCAGCTATGCCTTTCGCAGAGACGTGGCTGATATCGCCATTCACTTTGAGGGTTCGGCCTCAAATTCGTTGACCAACTGCCATTTCTGACCTCTTCAAGCGACGATCTCCTGCATCCTCCCTACAGCGGCCCCATGGCTCTGTTGTTTAACCGCCAATAGCAAGAAATATTCCCAAGCTCTTTTGACTTTCATGTGATCCATCCACATAATCACATCTGTTATCCTCTGTTCGATCCCGTCGGCGGCGGAGAGCGATGGTCGTCCAGTGCCGAAGAAAGGGTACTCAATTACAGTTAGCGCGGGAGCCGGGGCCAGTCAGTCGTCACGGCAACCAGGTGCTTTGCAGGGGAGCTCCCGCCCGTGTGCCCCGACCGGTTCGTCTGGTTTGATGGCTTTGGTTTGAAACCATTGACAATATGATGCCAATTGGGATGATCCAAGGACGGGGAGGCTGGTGATTATGAATAGCTCCAACCTCTCCCATTGAAGAGTGCCAGAGTCTCATGGGAGAGCAAAACTGGGACGGAGCAGCGTCTCCATGACTCTCTGATGGATCCAGGGGAAATGGGGAATCTGACTGCTGAGATCCATCAATGGTTTGAAGCCCCACTCGGGCGCTGCGGGCGGGATCCGTGAGGTAGGCAGGACCGCAGGTAGGGTACTTTGCCTTGGCCACGTCGTAGGCCTCCCTGGAAAAAGCAAAGCCGCCAGCCAGCCTCGTTTTGCATGTGCGACCGTCGACTTGCATGAGTTGTGCGGCGGTTGCAGACAGACAGTCCAATGGAGGTGTTCCACGATGTGTGAGACCCAGTATTGGATCCCCCGTATTGGTGTGAGAACTTGAGAAATGGTCAATTGCTGATTTTCGCAGGGCCTCAGCAGCAGCCGCCGGCCTGAGAACCCTGGAAACAAGTGGCCGGGAAGGGCGATTGCAGCTGAAAAGTGGTTGGGGAAGCTCCACGACTGGCCAATTGAGTTTCCGGGCTGCCGCGGTCAGGCTATGCGGACCATGCAGACGGTCGATAGCGGGCATTTGGGCCGTGGGCGAAACGACGATCTTCGTACCCAGCCCCAAGTCGGTGTTTTGTTTGTTGTATCCGTAACTTGACGAGCGTGTCAACAAGCTGCCAGATGTGACAGGCGACATACACAGAGCGTAGTTCGTAAGGTCGGGAGCATCAGCGCAATTCGCGACAGCCGTCAGCAATGCAGCTGGACGCATGGAGGCATTCGACACGGCCCATCGTTAGTGTTTGTTCGTCGCCTCATGCTCAAGAACACAGCCAATGAGTCCATAGACTGGCGCCTCTCGAACTTGTGGCGCCCATCACGGCGCCTGAGTGGGAATGTCTGTGGGCCATGGGATACCATAATAATTTACAGATTCTGGCCGATTGTGAGAATCCGGGGTTCCCTCTTCCCGGCATCACAAGGTCCCAGTTTCTTCCTCTTCTCTGATCCAGCCTCGGGTGTTTTGTCAGGCCAGCCCAGCCAGCAAAGTTGGGTTATTCTGTTGCTGATCGACCACGGCGCCTGTAATCTTGGTGTGAAGGGAAGGACCCAGAAACGAGCAGCCGAGGACGAAGCTGGTCGGCGGCGGTCGGGCCAGCAGCTCTAGCTTGTCCAGGACGGTTGTCAATAATCGATGCTGGAAGGTCCACTGCTGGAGCTTGCGCAAGCAGGCGTCTTGGAGGTGCGATTACTGCCGACATTGCCTGGCACACTTTGCAGCGCTAGGGAAAGATGTGTGGGTGCGCATGTGTACCTAGTGCGTGGTGTGGGAGAGCCGAGCTCTGCTCTGTGGAAGCTTTGGTGCTGTGGTGGTCCATCGAGTCGGCAGCATCTTGCATGCAGTAGGATGACATTCCATCGCATGTGAATGACTCGAATAGTTATTACTTGCATGAAGATGGGCCATTGAATCAATTGACCCCATATCGAAGTTGTCGGGCTGACAATTGAGGTGATTAGGCGCAGTGATTGAATGGTGAGACTTGGAAGAGAGAGCTTTTCGAGGTGAGGTGTGCGACATGTGCGGGCACGAGCAGTCAGAATCAGATGGGAAAGGAAGGACGGGAGGAATGAGACAGCGGGTACGGAGTACGTATCCGAGGTTCCTTCCATTAGCTCAGGTACGTAGCGTTGTACTGGTCGGTAAAGTACCTTACGTTTCCACCTCACCTCAAACAGTCGGGCAGGTCGCCATCGAAATGGAGAATGGGAAAGTGTGCAGTGGTGCCCGGTACCTGCTGCGCCGGAGCAAAACTGGTGCCTGACTTGGGTACCGTTGGCCTGGACACCTCAGAAGCAAGGCGTTCAAGGCAACTTGTACCGATGTACACATTTCCAGGGCGTCAAAGCTTCGAGCTGCAGCTCCGAGCTTCTCCTTCCCAAGTTCACCCCATGTCAAATCTCCACTTCCCATCCCCCAGACTAGTCCTCTTCGGGGCGGAATAAACAAACGGAACATCCACTGCTGGTTTGATGCAGGAGACGGGAGCCAATGTCAACATTCCCTCACAACACACGGCGCACTTTGACCACCTCTCTTGCTGGGAATTACTCGTCTTTCTCACTATTATCCGTACCTTGCCATTTCTGCCATTCTGCAGGCATCTTCCTCATCTCTCACCCTCGCACACCATCCATCACAACTTGAACCCACATCAGACAGAACACAGACTCTCGGTTGGTCTCTCCTCTCCTCTCACATCTTTTGATATCTTTCTCTCAGAAAACGAGACACACTCGATCTAATCCTGTCCAATCCAGATCATCCAACCCGCCTCCTCCGCATCCACTCCCAGCCGTCCATCCACCCACAAAGACACTGATCCCAGTCTCCAGTCCCACTTGGATCCAAGATACCAGTCCAGAGTCTCAAGAGGACACACTCGCACACTCTCACACACAACAGACAGTCAGACACACAACAGACACACACTCACAACATTTCACCCCTTGCCCCGGCAACCCTTCGCAACCCTCGTTTTCTGCAGGACTGCATTCGCTCGCCGCTTGCTCTGCTGCTCGGTCCAACCATCACCCCCCAAACCCCCCGTCTTCAAAACCCAATCCGCATCGCACATCTCCAACGACCCTCTTCTCCCTCCTTCTTCTCTCCTCTCCATCCATCTTCAAAGCTTCAATCGCCCTTTTTGCCCAACTTCACCCTTCTGTCGGCACACCCCCTTTCCTCCAAATCCAAAAGAGAAGAGAAAAGCAGAAGCGCGTGTCACTCGAACGACCGGCTTCTTCCACCTTTTTCTTCCCCTTTGTTTTTCTAGGAAAACGAAGCAAGAGGATACTCTTCTTTGCCTTCCTCACTTCAGGAACGCTTAGAAGATTCTCCTCTCTGCGCCCCCAGAGCCGCCAATCTGGATTTTGAAGCTCGTGTCCCCGTCCCCTTTAGCGTCTTTCCCTCCACCTACAAGGAGAGTGAGACACAAACCCAGACCCAAACAGTCACTCAGACACATCAAGAGCTTGAGATCAAACTTCCTGAGAAGAAGCCCAACAAGCCCGGACGGGAGGAAAGTCAATACTCTTCCTTCACCACCATCGCCGAGTCGAAGCCGCAGCCGCCGCAGCCGCAAAAGCCGCAGCAGCAGCAGCCTCTTCCCCCTCGGAAAGAGCACCGCTACGAAGAAGAGGTCCGCATCGAAGAACACTACCACCGTCCCGGTGTCCACTACGAGTCCCACAACTACCGTGAGGAGTACCGGTATGTTTTGATCTTTCTCTATCTGTTCTCTGTCTATCTGTCCATCACTTCCTCTCTCTCTCTCTGCCCAACCCTCTCTCTCTACCTGCGGCCGGATGTGCCCATCACAGCTTATGTATGGCATGGCATCGATCGATTCATCCAGCCCCCTCACTCCCGCTTCCCTCTTCCCATGCAACCTCAAAACAACACATACCCACTCGCGTCACTCCGGTCACCGCCCCTTCTCCTCCCCTTGGCAACCGTCTCTCACCTACCTACCCATCTTCCTCCTCCTTCTTCCACACACCCCTACCTCTCCTCCCACTGGGCACCCCGGCTCGGGACCGCTTCAGCTCGGGCCCCGGTATTTCGCCAAATTTCCCTCCTTGCCCATTACGAGCCGCCAGTCATGGACCCTGGACGCCTCCTCCCGGCCCCCCTAGTCCCATGTTGGCCAAGTAACCACTTGTCACGTCAAATATGTCAACCGGAGCGAAAAAGCTTCCCCATCAAGCTCCCCCATCAAAACATCAACTGACTTCTCTCTTCTTTTCCTTCTATCCAGCCCTGCCCCTCCCGCTCCTGCTCCTGCTCCCTCTCAATACACCACTCAGCAAGAGTTCCACGACACTCGCATCCACCACCACGACACTCGCGTTGAGATCGACACCCGTCACCACGAGCACCTGGTAAACCCGATTGATAAAATCGAACGCCAGTACCGTCAACGCTTCCAGCCTACCTACCACAAGGAGGAAGTCACCGTCGAGACCTACCCGGCTCCTCACCACCACCACCACCACCACTCTCACTCCGACCACCACTCGGATCACCACTCCCACCACCAGCACTCCCACGTCGACGAGTACACCGTCGAGTCTGAGCGCCCCCGTCCTCAGCAGTACAAGGAAACCATCACGGTTACCGAAGAGACCATCGAGCCTACTCACGTCTCCAAGCCCCAACACAAGTCTTCCAAGATGGGTTACTACGACGAGGATGGTAAGTCGAGAAATCCCCCTCCCCAGTGCTCTGCTTGACCCCCTTTTGTGCGTGCGTGCGTGTGCTTGCTGGCTTGTCTGTCCGTCCAATGCTTGTTGGGCTTTGTGTGTGTGTGTTTTGGTTGCGCCGTTCGTCCCCCCAATCTATGGACCGACACTGAAGGGTGCTCGCACCACCAGGCCACTACCATTCTTTCCGTCAAGGCCTTCACAAGCTGGCGGACAAGATTGCTCACCCCCATCATCACCACCATCATCATCATGGTCATGCTGACCGTTACGAAGTCTCCGAGGTTCGCGCCGCTTCCGCCCCCCGCCGCCAGTCTTCCGGCTCTGGCTCCGGTGCCCCTCGCATTCCCAACACCGTCACCATCCCCTGCCACCACATCCGCCTCGGCGACTTCTTGATGCTCCAGGGCCGTCCCTGCCAGGTCATCAAGATCTCCACCTCCGCCGCCACCGGCCAGTACCGCTACCTCGGTGTCGACCTCTTCACCAAGCAGCTCCACGAGGAGTCCTCCTTCATCGCCAACCCCGCCCCCAGCGTCGTTGTCCAGACCATGCTCGGCCCCGTCTTCAAGCAGTACCGCGTCCTCGACCTCTCCGATGGTCACGTCACTGCCATGACCGAGACCGGCGACGTCAAGCAGGGCCTGCCCGTCATTGACCAGTCCGACCTCTGGTCCCGCCTCAACAACGCCTTCGAGTCCGGCCGTGGCTCCGTCCGCGTCCTTGTCCTCAACGATGCTGGCCGTGAGCTCGCCGTCGACGTCAAGGTCATCCACGGCTCCCGTCTGTAAGCGTATCACGCTATGTCAATGGTTTATCTAGCAAACATGTCATGTACGAATTACAGATGATCAGATGTAATGGAAGAAATTGAAGTCGATTTTTGGATAAAAACAGAACGGATAAAGGATCCAGGAGTCTTTTACGTAGATATGTAGCTCTGTATATGATCTGTAATCCATATGTTGGGTACTACACTATACTGTCTTCAATATGCTCCCTGTGATCTTTGTCATGCTCTGTGCTCTTGTTTTCGTTTCTCAAGAAGTGCCTTACTAAGTCTTACATATACCTGGTACAACCCAAGCTCAGCATGGCAGCTCCTAGCAGTACGTCACACCTCTGTCATACTTCTGACCAAGCCTTTGGGACGAGGAGTTGTGGTTGGAAGTGCGTGCTTGTCGTACAGCAAGGCATCTTCAGAGACATGCGCGAGTTGCTGCTCTCCCTCCTTACTGTCTCCCATCCAGTCATCAAGAGTACATGGACCAATTGACTATGTTCATCCACTAAATCTCACACGCCTTCAGAGCGTTGTGTGATTCCTGTAGTGATGTTTACTCATGGGCAGCACATTACAGGCATCACTCGACCTCTCGATACACCACCTCATCATGAGAAGAATAGAAGTCATTGTGACCGTCATTCACCGTCAAAGTCGTGGCGTCGTCATCTGTCAATCATCTTGGGAAATGCCTCAGTTGAACTTGCGAGTGTGGGAACTTTGCCTCTTTTTCAAGCCTATATCTATCCTGTGGCGGTAGGGACTCGAGTTGTGGTGAATGGATGAATGTTTTCGTATTTATTGTCAGAAGGCGAGTGTCGAACGACTGGTGAATTTACCGTGTGGTTGCACAGAGGTCTGGGAAACCGCCACATGTGGTCCCCCCACCCTTTTAAGCCAGGACGTGAACACTTTTTGGATTTCATCAATCGTTCCCTCCGAGTAGGGCGGTTTAACAGATCGTTATATAGACAAAGAAGGAGAGTAATATGAATCGTGGAGTGTTCGGTGGTGATGCTATCAAGCTCAATGATCGTGAACTCATGATCAACAGAGTCATACCTACGGGGACACAACGAATGCTCAAAGAGTGGTAGAGTTTCCTGGATTATAAAAGATGCCATGTTTCTATCCAAAATAGCCTCTTTATTCTTCAAAAACATCTCTGTACCCGGCAACGAAACTACCGAATCCCAAACGATAGTCATGGCTCCTAGTGATTTCAACACCCAGGTCCTTGCCGACCAGCCCTTCAAAATGATACAGGAATGCGACGAAGTGTTCAAATCCATTGTGAAGTATCCTGGCGAAATCCCTTATCACCTAGCGGGGATCATAGTCGACCATCTGTGGGTTCATTTTAGGAACTGGCTCGATAGGCACCTTAAGACGAACTGTGATCGACCTGAGCCCTTGTCCGGGTTGAGAGCTATCGATGAGAGAATCTCAATGGGAGGTGAACGCGAGAAAACCAACTTCGTCCACGACCTCAAAGTTCTCTACCACTATCTCGAGAAAAGTACATCACCACACCAATCCTGATAGTAATGGTTTGGAGTACTGACCGACCGAATCAAGTGGCATCAATACTCCTCCGCGGAGCTGAGAACCGGCTGAGGGGCGACGAAGCCACTCGAAAAGATCCCTTGCCGCTAGGCTCACCGATCGAGATAGACTACGACATAAGGCTGGGTCCACGATCTGACCTCGGCTGGTACATGTTCTTCGGTATTCCGATGCGCCTCCTGCTCCTCGAGTCCGCGTCTTTCGTGTTCTCCGAGAAGAATGATGAGGCAGCCGACGCTTACCTAGCGGAGACTGTGAGCAAAGGTGCCATAGAGGGTGGATTGATAAACCAGCATGTTCACTGAATCATTCCTGCGAAGAGTTCGGTTTCCGGAAGTCCAAGCATCCATCTCCTTTTTCTCCTTTGGTTCGGCAGAGAGAAGTGGATGGAACGACAGTCGCGGCTTTCTAAAGGAGGAGACAGCGATACCAACGGGCTTTTTGAATCAGCTGCCAGGAGACCATCGTCGGCCTTGGGAAAGTACGGTACTATCGCGGCTTGGGAAACACAGTGGAACACTGGTAATTGCGAAGAATGCGACTATTGCTTTTGGCTGGTTTACCTAGATCAGGTAGCTCCGGAATAGAATTCTTCACTTATCTCAGAATCAATCGTGGTATATGAACGTGTATGATGCGGGCTTCCTGATTACCTGTCTTCTTACGTATTCAACATCAGAGTCGGTTTTCAATGCCTACGCGATGGCCTCGCGTTTTTACTCGACGGCCAGTGTAGTTTCCATCAACGGATAGGGAGGAATCGTTGAATCCGGCTACGCATATGTCATCGACGACTGGGAGTGGATAGAGCGTGGCGGAAACGCTACTATATTTGTCGTGGAGAAAGAAGAGACTAAGCGAGTCGGCGCACATGAGCTTGAAAGAAGCGCAAGAGAGGCATTGAACAAGGGAAGATTTGCCTCACGTCTATTTGGCTTTAGGATATCCTCGGTAGCGATGGCTCTGTGCATGAAACTCGACTTCGGTACACTGCCAATATGTGAAATAGGGGAAAAGTTCGCATCTCCCTTCAGATACGGTTGGCGTACAATCATCATCCATCTCGGGTTGTTCAAATCATGTTTAGATCAACAAACCCTTCAGGCTTGTGGCGCCCAGGTCTTCTTATTCTTCTCCGCGAAGTCACAAAATCGTGATGGGCGTTTCCCTGTCAACTCGACAACAACGCTGTTCATCCGGTCCTCACTCCCGTTTTTGATAGCCAAGTCTGCGTTGCCTAGCATCTCTGCAATATGCGTAGGTAGACCTTGCCGAACATAGTAATCCACAAGCTCGTCAACTGAGAGGTTCTTGTGCGTGATCTCGCGGCCGAGAGTTTTGGAAAGGACCTCGGCGATCTGTATACCATCGTTACTCCTACTGCGAGAAGGTCTAGTTAGACGACTGCACTTACATCGCCGTAGCTGAGTAGCTCGGGCCCAAGAATCAAATACTCGTCGTTTGGAGCACTCTTTTGGGTAAGTAGCTGGAAAGCACACGCAGCAATATCCTCTGTCGCAACCCAGGGAATCCTTCCGTCCCCGGTGGCAGAGTAGACAACACCTTCTTTCACAATAGATTCGCGGTAGTTTTCTAATTCCGCAAAGTTCTCTGTTCAGTGATCAGCAATAGCACTTCCCCAGATCCTACCTAGGAATAGGCGCGCACTTACGTTGGAACCATGTCGGTCTGATCGCTGCCCATTCCACTTCGCCCTTCTCACCAAGTTGCTTTAGATAGGCATGAGGTCGACCCATTCCCTGGCTATTTATATCCGGCTCGACTGGACTCCCGCTCAGCAGAACGAATCGCTTCACATGTCCTTTGAGTCGCGCCTGATCAATGAACAACTCCACCGGCGGCAAAGGACCCCCTGGTGGCGCCACCAGGAATACGCTCGTCGCGCCAACTTCTAGAACCGTGTTCCATGTCTTCTCATCGTCCCAGTCGAAGGCAATCGGTTTGATGTTCTCGGCGCCCGCCTCTGTCGTCGTCGACCCTTTGCGGGAGGCTTGATAGACCTGAACTGGCGTCGCCGCAAAGAGCTTGGTGAGCTGGCGGCCAACTTTACCAGTTCCACCAATGATCAACACTGTGTTTGAATGATCTCCTTCCATTGCTGCGCTTGCCAGATTGCCGTTTGACATTACTTGAACTGATTCCAATCATTTAGCATAACGAAAGAAAGGGAAGGAAAACTACATCGCTGTAAGGTGAACTGCTTCGATTACCTTACGGAGCTAAGAATTAAAAGCCGCTGCGGACTTAAGATCCGACTAGATGTTACGACCCGTACAAAGATGACAGTCAACCGACCCACTCGGACGCAAGTCGTTCGTATTGATTGATTGATTTTGTCTCATTTGGTTTTGGCCGCTTCATTCAACAGCTATACCCAGATAACAAGGTTTAGCTTGTGGGACACATCTGTGGACAGCGCTTGTCAAGCGGCACCATAATTTCTCGGTACACTACACATCCCTCAGCAGGGCTTTGAGTGCCTGTCATCGTTGTCACCGCCATCATACCCAGAATGAACTCAGTCATGGCCAGGAAAGGCCCGGGAGAAACCCCCAGCTGAGCTCTCCAGAGAGAACCTTCAAAGACTCATGTTGGCCATCAAACCTCTACGCCAGAGCTCTCCGAAGATATCAGTATACTGTGATTTTGAGATCCAGACCTTGGCACGTCTGTACTCATTAGACTTTCATCCCATGATCTCCATCGACATTGCTCCAGCAATTGTTCAAGAGCGCAGTTGCGCTTCGCTTTCTCTATGTGAGCCCTCGTCTGCTCCGCGTGATGGTGTTGTATACCCACATCCGGATTAATTGTACTTTGGAGGTAGGTAACTATATGCTGCCGCAACGTCGTGAGTGCTTAACTATTGCAATCAGGTAGCGCCATGTACTCGACATGTATGAGCCACTGAGAACCCTACAATAATGGCTGTGGAAGAATCTTCTGGCGGCATCGAATAGAAGAAAGTACCAAGCCTACGATTCGCCGCCTTCATAGCTGCCAGATTCATGTGCTCCTTAACGAAAGCCACTGAACAGGCGACCTTGTTCGCTTCCCGAACTCGCGGGAAGTGAATGGATCATGAGACTGGTGCCAAATTCATACATGCCGTCCTCATCAACAGCAACACCAGCCTCATGGGAGCTATGCCTCTGTGGCCTCTTTCAGCTACTGCAGATGAGGCTTCAATCGTGGTTACCTCTCTCAATGGCGGTTTTACCGCCTCGGAAATTCCACGAGCTGTCCTTAGTGCCTCTATTCGAGCTCGTATTGAACACGTTCCACCTAACCAAAGACTGTCGAGGCTTGATTGCGTAACAAGTCCTCCTATCGCTGTCATTAGCGTTACTACACGGGATCGCAGTAAAGCAGTTGTTCTCTTACCGGTCATACGTGCCCGTACAGTACATGCCGCCGGTCTCTCAAAACTCGGTTGCGCTTTTTGTCCTCTCACATGCTGGGGCCCGGTCCTTGGTTGTACCACAACGATGAAAGCACTGAGTAAACCGCCACACACGATCTCGTCGGATTCAACCTTTGGACGTAAATGTATCTGGAATCACATTTGAACTGCATCAATCCTCAGAAGTTCAAACTGATGACTAGCTAGACAAAGGTAGATAAAGAGTCTGAATCACCAACTGTTCAGTGGGTGCTGTCAGGCTCAGTTATCGCGGGCCCGTTATGGAATAAGCCGGTTGAGGGCATTTGCTGAATATCTTTTGGAATACATAAGACGCCATCTTCATCTTCATTTTCCAAAATTGCTTGGTCACTTCTCACAAAACATCTCTGCAACCGAATCGAAACCACACCGCATTACACCATAATCATGGCTCAGATACCGATTTACAGTCCCTTTAAAGACGAAAAAAGCATATTCCGCTTTGGACATGAGAAGACATCAAAGTTTGTTGAAAAGTGCTTGTTGATGTTCGCCAGCGCCATCACGGAGACTTCCGATACTGGCTACAAAGATGCCCTTATGAACCTTCAGCATAGCTTTATGCAGTGGGCTATCAAAATCATGGGTGCAGACGACAACGGAGACTTGTCAGAAGAGGGAGAAAAAATATTCGACGAAAACCTGGCGAAGCCTGACGCAGACCCGAACTTCCGTAGGAGAATCCAAATGTGCTTAGATTTACTGTGGTATGATCTCATCCAAGGTAATTCATCGCGACGGTCCGATATTCAGGTATTCAATGCTGACGGGAGTGGTACAGTCCGCGAGATGTTGAAGGCAAATCCCACAGTGGGTAACAAAATTTTGGGCGAGAAGCCTACGACGAAAGATTTCGGCAAGATCGACTCCAAATCTAGTTCCGGGAAGGAAGATCTTGAGGCATGCCTCGGTCCGAAGTCAACACTGGGCACCTTGTTGTTCGAAAGGATTCCAATGTTTTGCAAAATTATCAGGAACCACTATGCCGAATTCTCGGGCGATTTCAAGGAAAGCTTCGTCCCCTCCTACTCCCCGGAGTACTTGCAGAGCAAAGCAAAGGATGCTCTCGAGCGAATCGACCCTCCAAATTACCCATCCCCGCGGCCGGCAAAGTAAGCAAACAAAACGCCTGCTGGTTGAAGCAATCCATCCGTAAATCTCCAACAGTCAACGCGGGCACGTAGTGTCACTTCAACGGTGGGCAACCATAACGCGGGGTTACCAAGCGAGCTGTGAGGAGATCAACATTAGCATTGAGGAGTAACCGCTGTATAAGGTATGCAACCGCAGCACCGCCGGACTTGAAGAATATGAATCAAGAATTTTGGGCTGTTACGAAGAATGCGGCACTTTTCGGCTGGTGTCTTTCCTTCACGTGGCTCTGGACACGTTCCATCTCTCATCCGGCTTGCATCTTGTTTCTTGAAGATTTCCCCAGCATTATTATAGTTCTCCCCCTGCCGCGTGAAGCTCAATTTATCAACGACCAAAAAAAGGTAGAAAAAGACATTTAGAAAAAGGAAAAAAAAGACCATTATTATTAAAAGCTTCTTCTATTTGACTGTGAAGTTTGACTATATTGGAAGTGTGCCACTGCCAGCCAGGCCTACCAACACCACCTCCTCCTCCGCCTCCGTCACGCCGCCGTCACTAATGTACCGCAAATGCACTTGCAACATTGCCTTGAATGAATAAGGAGGAAAATCGAGGTTAAAATAGGCAGGGAAATTCCAGTAGTCACTTAATACGAATTTTTGCTTGTGACTCTAGGATATTCGTAATTGTGAGATCTCTATGCCCATAGGGAACCGTTGCATGTGACTGTAGACACCTGGAATT